GGACTGTTGGTCTCCTCTCGTTGGAGAATAGAGACTGTCGGGTGGTTGGAAAGTGTACGAAGGCGGAAGAGATTATATGAGGTTAGTGTTCCAGAAAGCGGCACTTGAGCTGCTTCCTGGAGGAAAAGCCCTTCTTCAGGTACTTGTCTATGTGCAAGATAAGAAAAATGGAGACTTCCTGCTGCCTGCAGTGATTGATCAAAGACTCAACTAGGGAGCAGAAAATGAACGCCATCTGGTCCTTCCTTTCTGCCCTATGGCCTAAAGCCAGCTGACTTTTTTTTTCTCTTTTTGCTGTTGCTGTCATGATGAAGTCTAAAGGAAGAGAAAAACTGAGTTGAGCTGCACCAAAATTAGAACTGTGAAATTGCTTATTTCAGCAAGAATCAGAAAGGATAGCAGAAGAGAGACCCAGGAGGATTGTGAGCAAACCAACAACTCCACGCCGTGGGCTCCAGGGGCAGTGAGCACCTACAGACCGAGTCTTTGGCACAGGACTGTGAGGCTCAGTGTCAGTAACAAGAGCTGTGGGCAGTGTGCATGCTCTGTAGAAATGGCCTAAGCAGATGTAGGGAAACCGTGAGGGCTCAGGCTCAAGTATTCACTAGCTACTCAGAGGGCGTAACGCACTCTCAGAGCAGAAGGAAAAGGCCTTTCAGGGGCTGGAGAGATGGTCCCACAGTCGAGAGCGTGTACTGTTCTTGCAGGGCACTTGAGTGTGGTTCCCAGCACCAGCACCCCCTTAGGTGATTCACAAACACCTGGAACGCCAGCTCCTGGAGATGTAGGCTTCTGGCCTCTAAAGACACCTGTGTTCCTGTGCGCACACGCGCGCGCACGCACGCACGCACGCGCACACACACACACACACACACACACACACAGAAAGAGAGAGAGATATTTTTTTTTAAATGAGGCCGGTGTGTTGCCATATGTTTTAATCTCAGCACTCGGGAGGCAGAGGCAGATGGATCTCTGTGAGGCCAACATGGTCTGCATATTTCAGGTGAGTTGAAGCTTCTTAGTGTGACCCTGCCTCAAAAATAAATAGCTAGGTAGATGTAAAGGAATTTTAATTCAGAACATGGCTACTCTGACTGGAATACAGACGCTCCTTTCATTCCGGGAGACAGAGGCAAGCAGATCTCTTGAGTTCAAGTCCAGCCTGGTATAGAGCAAACTGCAGGTAAAGAAAAGCTTAGGCATGGTGGTATACACTTTTAATCTCAGCACCTAGGAGACTAAGGCATGCAGCGCTCTCGGTTCAGTTCAGTCAGTGAGTTGAGAGGCACTGCTGTGGAGTTGAGTTCATGGCAGTTTAGTTTGTGGAATTCAGAGGCAGTTCTTACCGGGAGAGTTTTACAGAGAAAGGCTGAAGAGAGAATAAACTAGACACAGGTGAAGACAGAATGAGCCAGAGAATGAGGAGCCAGAAGATGAGAACATATTGCCAAAGTTAGTATGAGGCCAAGAGAGAAGCCAGATTGAATCAGTCAGTTAGGAGAGGCGCTTAAGCCAGAACAGCTGAGTTGAACCAGCCAGCCAGAGTTCAAAAAGAACTAGAAAGGGTGAGCTTATTTAGCAGTAAGTCTCAGAGGCTGAAAGCATTCTAGGCTTAGATTAGATTGAATGGAGGCTAGAAGCTTCCAGGGCTAGGTTTAGGTTAGCAGACAGAGGCAATAAGCCTCCAAGATGACATTTAAAACAGGTGAATAAAAGTTACTTTTACAGATAGATGTTAGATAGATAGATAGATAGATAGATAGATAGATAGATAGATAGATAGACGTATAGACAGACGGATAGATAGAAAAGGCTTTTGAAATCATTGTCAGTAATAGCAGAGCCAGCATAGCTGCACAGAGGTTTCTGAGAGGTATGGCTGGGCAAGTAGCTCAGTTGCTAGCCATGTACAAAGCCCTAGGTTTGAACCCTGGCACTGCCTTAACCAGGTGTTAGCAATGTGTACCAGTAACCCCAGTACATAGGAGATGGAGGCCAAGATACATGAGACCCTGCCTCTAGAAAAAAAAAGCAAGGAAGGAGGGAAACCATAGCCAAAGACGATGAGAAAGAATAAGTAGGAAAGAGGGTGGGTGTGTGGGAGAAAAAAGGCTTCGTTGAAGTAGTGTTTCTCAAAGTGTGAGTCCTTTCTGAGAGCTGTGAATTCAAAACATGTACTGATACTGAGATATTATCTGCCCTTGTCATTGTAGTAAATCACACAAAGTTTACTGTCTCAATCATTTTTAAGTGTATAATTCAGTGCTATTCAGGGTATTTACATTGCTACACAGCAGATCTTTAGAACCTAGTCCTCTTACAGGTTTGAAACTCTCTGCCCATCAAATAACAATTCCTCGTTATTCCTTCTGCCAGCCAGTGGTCCCCAACTATGTCACTTCTGTTTGTGTGCCTTTGACTCCTTTACACACCTCATGCAAGTGTAATCAATAGAGTATTTATCTTTTTGTGACCGGCTTATTTCTCTTGGCATGATGTCCCGTGGTAGCATGTAACGAGATCTTCTTCCTTTGTAAAGCTGAATAATATTTCTTTGTGTATATGGAGCGTGTCTCACCTCCCCATTCAGCCTTTGCTGTGTGTGTGTTTGGGTTGCTTCCACCTCCTGACTGTTGTCATCGTTATTTGCCTTTTTCAACAAGCTGACATTTGCCTGGGTGATGTGAGTGGACATACAATTGGTGATGGCTTAGCACAAATCAATACAGCAATACAAAGAAACCCTGTACTTTCAGTTACCCCCTTCTGCTTTGTGATAACAGTTGTAATGGGAGGGGATTACTGCACTTGGCAGCATTTTATTTACTATGTGATGAGATGAGATGTAGGCATTCAACTCTCCTGCACGCCAGAACTGTCATAGAGGAGAACCCTTGGGCATTTACGCTGTGAACTAAATCTAGTGGCTTTTATCCCGGAACACTGTTTTTACCTGAAGAAAGGACTGTGAGAAAACTGTAGTCGTCAGACTTAGGTATTTCAATATATATATATATATATATAAATTTTTTTTTTTTTAAGATTCTGTCTTATAGCTGGGCATGGTGGGCCATGCCTTTAATCTCAGCACACGAGAAGCAAAGGCAGAAAGCTCACTCTCCATGAGTTTAAGATCAACCTGGTAGACAGAGCAAATTTCTAAGATAGCTAGAGCTACATAGTGAGGCTCTGTCTCAAAAAAGGAAGGGTATGTGAATAGAGAAACAGCTCAGTGGCTAAGAGCCCTGGCTGCTCTTGCAGAGGAACCAAGCCTGATTCTCACTACCCACATGGCAGCTCACAAAGGTCTGCAGCTAGTTCCAGGGTCCCAGTGACCTCTTCTGGCCTCCATGTGCACCAGCCCTCCACATGGTACACACACACACACACACACACACACACACACACACACACACGAGCAAACACTTAGACACATAAAAGAAAACATTTATCTTAAAAGTTAACAACATGTTTTGGGCAGCATACAAAGGTTTAAACCTTGCATTCTACCACTCAGTTTTACCCCTAACCTACAGACCTTTTCTTGAAAATGAATGAAATACACCTATTACTAGCCCTCCAAAGAAAACAAACGTCATAAGTACTTCAATTTGAGCTTTCAAGTGGGAATTAGAATTTTGAGTAAATTTGCCACTTTCCAGTATCTCAAAGATTTTTATGAGAAACATTGGTGGTATGTAAGTGGAAATTTTAAACTATAAAAAAAATGTGCCAAGATTAGGAAGATTTGCATAATTCACGGACCCACAGACACTCCTTATGTCTGTTTCCAATAATGTTAAAAAAATCATGCCTTGTTACAAAATGCCATCCTTTTTGTAGTATAAGAGAAGTATTTACCACAGCAGTAGAAACTGTAACAAAGACAGTTTAGACTCCAATGGTGGCAAATCTTTAAGAAACTGTACTTGTAGCCTAGTGTGGTGGCACTCAGGGAGGCAGAGAGAGGTGGATCTCTGTGGCTCAAGGCCAGCCAGGTCTACAGAGCAAGTCCAGGACAGCCAAGGCTACACAGGAAACCCTGAAGAAAAAAAAAGGAAGGAAGGAAGGAAGGAAGGAAGGAAGGAAGGAAGGAAGGAAGGAAGGAAGGAAGGAAAGAAAGAAAGAAACTCTGCTTGTCTCAGGTTGTGATAGAGAAGCAGAGTCTGCGGCACCCTGAAGGTCTATCAAAACTACTTCTTGGTCTGGGCGTGTAACACAGTGGTAGGATGCTTGCCCAGCGTGTGTGAGACCTTAGGTTCAGTCCCCACAGAAGTCAGCTAATCAATAAAAAGCATAAATTTTAAAAAGAAAGAAAGAAAAGCTCCTCCTTTTCGGAGTAGGTGTGAAAGTCTAGAATATCTCACCCTCCACTAATGCTGTGTCCGTAGCACACTGAATACCAAAGCAAGTGTGAGACGTTAGTCAAGGCATAAAAGACATTTGCAGTGTTATGAAACAATACCACTCCTCCTGTTTCTTGTCTCAGGAAGTGTACTGTAGGTATGTATGTATATGTGTGTGTGTGCATATATATATATATATATAATATTATATAATATATGTTACATATATGTGTGTATGTATGCGGTGTTAGTGTGGATTGAATTTATCCATACATAATTTATTGTTAGTTAAGTGAATTACTATTTAAACATTTGCTAGGTCTGGTGGCACATGCCTTTAATCCCAACACTAGGAAGGCAGAGGCAGATAGACCTTTGTGAGTTCAAGGCCAGCCTGGTCAACGTAATGAGCTATAGGCCAACCAAAGCTACTTAGTGAAACCCTGTCTCAAGAAACAAAAACAAGTAAACAAAACCTTAAACATTTTTTACTTTATTTAGTATTATACCAAGTATACATAGATAGAACCCAAGTACACAAAAGCGTTGGGGCCCGATCGGATGTGTGGGCTGTCAGTGAAGACTCTCAGTCATCTGAAGTGAGCTCCAGTGCTCTTCATGAACCTGATCATCCTATTTTATCCTTCGTAGGTATCTGGCTCGGGTAGGAGACCTGGAAGCCACCAACACGGAGGACCCAAACCTGAATTATGGACTCGTGGTGGACTGTGGGAGCAGTGGCTCCCGGATTTTTGTTTACTTCTGGCCAAGGCATAATGGGAACCCCCATGACTTGCTGGACATCAAACAGATGAGAGACCGAAACAGCCAGCCCGTGGTTAAAAAAATCAAGCCAGGTACTAATCAGAATGAGTTTCCCTATTGTTCCTTTACCTGATGTAGGCGTAAGAAGAGAAGGGGGAGGAAGTTCCCTTGTTTTTTGAGGATCTGGACAGTGAGAGGAATCTCATTCATTGTCATCCTACTTCTTTCAAAAATATAAATGTAGCCGGGCACGGTGACACACACCTTTAGTCTCAGCATTTGGAAGGCAGAGGCAGGTGGGTCTCTGTGAGTTCGAGGCCAGCCTGGTATACAAAATGAGTCCAGGGAAGCCAGGGCTACACAGAGAAACCTTCTCAAAAAACCCACCACCACCACCAAAAAACAGTCAACACCCTCCCCTCTGTAAATGTAGATCCTTCCACAGAATGTTTTATTTTTGTTTTTTGAGACAGGGTTTCTCTGTAGCCCTGGCTATCTTGGAACTTGCTCTGCAGACAAGGTTAGCCTTGAACTCAGAGTTCTACCTCCTCGGCCTCCCAAGTGCAGGGATTAAGGGATGTGCCACCACTGCCTGGCTCCTTTGACAGAATCTTTTGAGTGTTCATTTTCTGAGTATTATGTGATCTACATTAATATGTATGTGAATACATATATATTACATAGATTATGTATTATGTTAATATATATTTGTTTTACTTTTATATATATTCTGTGTGTGTATGTTTTACTTGAGGAATCTCCGCAATGGCAGACACTCCGGAACATGCCAGCGATTACCTGCGCCCTCTGCTGAGCTTCGCCGCTGCTCATGTCCCCGTGAAGAAGCACAAGGAGACCCCCCTTTACATCCTCTGCACAGCGGGCATGAGGTTGCTCCCCGAGAGGTGAGGCTCAGGGCTTACGGGACTTGGGGATGCGAGCCCCGTGCAGACAGGATGGAGGCGGATGAAGGCAGAGCATACACATGTGTTGTCCCAGGTGGCAGAGCGGAGCCATCCCCGTAGCCAGTGCAGCGCAGTGCCTTGTTCCTGCGCTCTCAGACAGTCACATCTTCGTGATATCTGTGGCTTTGGGATCCACGTCTAGCTGAGATGACAAAGGGGTTCTGAGTTTGGATTAAGGGTGTGGTGGCAATTGGGAGTGGTGGCAGGGGTGTCTGAGTCATGCAGCAGGTGTGGAGAGACCGTATTTGCATAGCAGAAGGCTCACCTGAGGAAGAGGCCTGGTCCTGCTGGCTAGCCGGAGACCAGGCCAGCCACACAACTTCTCTGTAACTCTGCGTGGGTCCTGTGATGACTGCTGAGTCCCTCCCTCTCCTGCTCCACAAATCTCAGTCTCTGTCTACTTAGATCGATTTCTCAGCCCCGGCCAGGGCACTCTCTCCCACCTGAACCTGCATGCAGCCTGATATCTTGACACCTGACCTTTCTTCCTATGTGGAGTGTGAGAGGGAAGAGGATGTTGTATTTAGGTTAGACACCTCCTTGTTTGTGATTTTTTCCCTCTCTGATGCCTCCTGAATCCCAGCACATTTGCTATGGACCTGGTATGAGAGTGAACGTTCAGAGTGTTGGCTTTTCATAGTTTTATTTTATTGTGAGAACACCGCATTACAATTCCACCACTATGACATGTACTCACGAGAAGCAGTTTAAAGAAAAAGATTTACTTGATTCCCAGTTCTTGTCTGTAGCTGGCTGTACCGTTTATGGGCCTGTGGTGTGGCAGAATATCATGGCAGGTGGGTGCACTGGAGCAGAGGTGCTTGTCTCATGGTGGCAAGGATGTAGCACCAGAGACAGTCCTGCAACCCAGGACATGCCTCAGGACCTGCTTCCTTCGGTTAGCCCTCACCTCCAGAGTTTCCACCAAGTCCCAACAGCACCAGCAAATTATGACTCCATCAATGGATGAACCTAGTGATGACACCAGAGTCCTCGTGCTGCAGCTGCTCCTCTGGTTTACCCACCAGATAAGGAGGCAGTTGTCAGCACATGAGCCTGTTTCAGACCCTGGTTTCAGACCCAGGACTAGTGGCTGAGGTCCCTATTTAAAATATCAAAGTGGACCTGGCCTCCAGGTTCTCCCAGCATCCCTTAGTCCCTACCTGTTACAGGGTACGGCTGGCATATACCCACCCTCTACCCTGAGTTTTCCAGCCCAGGGGCTGGGCTTCCCGTCCCCTAGAGACTTCCCTCCATCTCTCTCTCTCTCTCTCTCTCTCTCTCTCTCTCTCTCTCTGTCCCCTCTTATCTGTCTGCATGGCAATTTCCCTGGCCCCATTCCTTGGGACTGGTGAACCTGCCTGAGAGCTGGCCCTGATAAACCTTCCTTTACGCTTTTAATTTGGTTTGAGTTGATTTTGTTGGCGGAGAGAACTTACTAGAGCTTTTTGGGAAGGGCAGTGCATCTAAGCAGTAACAAATGCTTAACATGAGCTCTGTCATCTGGGTGAGTTTTTTTTTAACCCCTCATATTTAGTTTGTTATTCCCTGAGTGTGGGCACACGTGAGAGCAGTTGCCTGTGGATGGCTGGAGAGAGCATCGCATCCCTAGACCTGTGGTTAGAGCAGGTGAAGCCACGTGGTGCGGGCGCAGAGAATGAGCTCCGTCCCCAGCGGAACAGTGTGAGCCTTCTCTGAAGCCCCTGAATGAGTTTTTAAGTCTGCAGCACATACTGTTGGCTACGTACAGTGCTGCGTGGCGGGTCTCCATCGCTCGCTTCTCGTTTCCCTGAAGCCATATGTCCTTGCCCTAGCATCATGTCCTCAACATCCGTTCATGTTGGCCTTCAGTCTTTTGCTTTATGTATATGCTCTTTTAAATCGTTTATCTGCCTGGATGTTTAGGTCATTTTTACATATGGGCTGTTAAAAATAATGTTGCCACAACTATGCAAGTGTTAATCTGTTTCCAAGATCCTGAGTTCAGTTCTTTTGGTAATCACCTCAAAGATAAAGACAGATATTCTTTGTTTGTTGTTATTGGTGGTTTTTTGGTTTGTTTGTTTGTTTGTTTGACAGAGGATTTCTGTGTAGCCCTGGCTCTCCTGGAACTCACTCTGTAGACCAGGCTGGCCTCGAACTCAGAGATCCACCTGTCTCTGTCTCCCAAGTTCTGGGATTAAAGGTGTACACCATCACTGTATTCTCTTAAAGAGCAAAAAAAAAAAAAAAAAAAAAAAAACCAAAAACAAAAACCAGAGAAAGCTGCTGTGGTTGAATGCAGGCCTAGGCTGCTCCACCGCTACCTATGTACATTGTTTTTAAATGTTTATTTGCATTTTATGCGTATGACTGTTTACCTCCCTGTATGTGTGTGCAACACATACATGCAGAGCCCACAGAGGCTAGAAGAAGGCCTCTGAGGTCACCACAAGTACAGGTTGCAGATGGCTGTGAGCTGCCATGCGTATGCTGACAACCAACCTGGTCCTCTGCAAGAGCAGCCATTGTTCTTAACCACTGAGCCAACTCTTGAGCCATCTGTATGTACTTTTAAAGTTTGTTTTTTAACATTGTGCATGTGTGTGCATGTCCATGTGTTCACATACGGTTCAGAGAGTTGATTGTCTCTGTCCAGCATGTAGGCTCTGAGAGCTGAGCTTTGAGTGCCAGGGTCGGCTTTTCCTGCAGAATCATCTCGCTGGTTCCTCATACACACTTTCTGGAATGTGATTTCCCATCGCTGCTCTACCATTTTGCATTCCTACTGTCAAGGGTCCTTGTTTTTCCACATCCCTGCAAATACTTGTGTTTTGTTTTTCTGGTAGCAGCCACCCCAACAGGTACGAACAGTCTTTCACTGTAGTGCTGATCTGCGTTTCCCTCCTGAGGACTTTAAGAATTTTTCATATACCAGTTGGTATACCAGTTGGCCATTTGTTGTCCTTTAGAGAACACTAATCAAGTTCACAGTTCCCTTTTAAAGCCAGGGTGTAGGTTTCTTCCTGTTGTCAGAGTTCTCCTGTGTGTTGAGGATTGCTCCCCACATCAGACACCCAGCCTGGAAACGCCCCTCCCCCCCATTCTGTAGCTTGCCTTTTCATTTTGTTGGTTGTTTCCAGAAGCTTTCTGCTTACACCTGTTGAGTTTGCTTTTGTTGCCTGTGCTTTTGGTAGCATATTGAGCTCAGTGCCAACGCTGACTTTGGAATTAAGCTCTAGGAATGATTGCAGTCTCGTAAGCATTGGACATTTCTTATTAGTGGAAGTTACTTTTCCTTGGTAAATAGCAGGTTGCTTTTCCACACATTTAGATTTTCTCACTTGGTGTGCCGGGGTTGGGGCGCCCCATGGTCCTGTGCTGTGTGGGCTTTCTTGCCTCTGCTGTACATGGTGGGAGCTTTACTCCCTTGGCTGACTGGTGAGCGGCAGACTGTTTATCCAGTCATTTGTTGTCATGAGAGGCCTTATAGTTCTCTATTTACAAAATTTTATTTGGAGTTTACAAGCCATGCTTTAAATGGGAAACCTGTAACCTTACATCATTAATAGAAGTCCTGAGAGTAACCTGTTCGTTCTGCCTCCAAGCCCTTTCATTTTGTGTTGGTACCTTTTCTTTGTGTATCTATTTGTAATTGCTACAAAGGTATTATCACTCTATATCTATCTATCTATCTATCTATCTATCTATCCATCCATCCATCTCCGTACCTATCTATTAATTTTTTTATTTTGGAGTGGATTCAAACCCATAGAGATCCACTTGCCTCTGCCACCCATGTGCTGAGATTAGGGAGTGTGCCACCACATCCAGCCAAGACGGGACTGTATGTAGTGGCCCGGTCTGGTCTCTATCACCATGGGGCTGAGGATGACTTTGAATTTGAGATCTTTCCACCTCTACCTTGCAAGTGCTGAGATTAGGACTGGGCGTGCTCCATCATGCTTAGCTCAGGGTTGGAAACCCAGAATAAAAGGTCAAAGTGGCAGAGCCACCCAGCAGACTGGGCAGAGGAACCTGGATGGTGGTTTGGATACCATTTGTGTGTCCGGGGCAAAGCAGACAGTTCATCTCCTGGCATTGCCCAGCACTGCCTCTGTCACAGAAGTTTCCATGGAAAGTTTCCAAGCCATGTATAGGCCCACTTTGTTTTCCCGTGATAACTGAGTCGGAAGCACGGAATATTGATCTTGACAATGGTGAGCATTTTTCAACCATTGAACCTTCTCTTTGACTTCTTTTCTGATTGCCTTTCAATCATGCATGGGTCTCTCTGGGCCTGATGAAGTCACGGCTGCCTCTAAGGCAACGTAGTTGCTGATATACATCTGCCTGTTACTGCAAGAACCTGCTCTGTATGATTAATGCCTTGCTATTTCATTAATATTTATGATCAGTGCTCATGAATCATTTGGACTGCATTTGAACTTATTTGCACTTTGCCAACAGACAAGCAGATTTTTTTTCTACTTCCCTTTTACAATAGAAATACCCTTGAAAATGACATAAAGGTATTAACTGGATCATAGTTCATTAACATTTTTTGAGATTAAAATATAATTACAACATTTCTTCCCTCCCTTTCTTTCCTCCAAACCCTTCCGTTTATTCCTCCTTACTCTTCAAATTCATGGTCTCTTTTCTCACGGTCATTGTATGTCTATGTCTGGATACATATACAGTCCTAAAAATAACTTGCTTAGTGCATACAATGATACTTGGGCTGACCATGTGGCATTGGCTAGCCAGTTGGTGTTCTCTTCCCTGGGAAAGGCCACCTTTCCTGCTCCCCATTTTTCTCAGTTGTCTGTACCCCTTTTGTAGGGGTGAGGCCTTGTGGGCTTTTTCTGTCCCCTTTGGCATGTCCATTGGTGTTATCCCTATTTAGTTCATGTTTGGGAAGTCATGCTGATGAGACTTTGTTTTGTTTTTAACTGTAGGATTCCAACATGAAAGTGTTTGGAAGGACAGAAGACAGTGCAGGGAGTCTTGTCTAAGCCACAGCTCACTTGAGCTGCTCTCAAAGTTTTGCCCCTAAGTTTAAAGTAAAGAAACAATGTTGGAAATAAAAGTTTTATTCCCGTGCAGTATATAAAAGCGGTTTTTTGTTTGTTTGTTTGTTTGTTTGTTTTGGTAATTTCATTTGAAAACTTTAAGATTTTATGTTTATTTATTTTTAATTACACATGTCTGTGTGGGTATGGACACATGAGTGCAAGGACCTGAGAGCCCAGAAGCCAGAGTCATAGGCGGTTTGACAGTTGATCTGGATGCTGGGAACCAAACTCAGGCCCTCTGCCAGAGCAGCAGGCACTCTTAAATTCTGAGCCATCTCCAACCTCTGTTTTTGCTTTTTAAACAAACTTAACCAAGTATATTGAGTATCTTTTCATGATATCATGTAGGAATATAAATGACCTCATTACTATTGACATCAATATGGTAGTAATTTTATTGCATAGATGTTCCATAAATTATATAACTAATTCCCTTGTTATCACCTTATTTTCTTCCAGTTATTATAATAAATAATATTACCATTATCTCTTTTTTATTACTTGAATTACATTTTTTAAAGTACAGTGGTTTGGGGCGAGAGACATCTCATGCTCATTAGTCAAGAGCACTTGTTCTCAAAGAGGACCCAGTTTCAGTGCCCACCTGATAGTCACACACAACCATCCATAACTCCAGCTACGGGGCATCTGACACCCTCTTCTGCCCTCCGTGGGCACCAGGCACACACGTGGTGCCCATACATACACGCAGGCAAAACACTTGCACACACAGAATGAAATAAACTCTAACCCCCCAAATTTCAAAGTACCCTGACTGAATGAAAGGTTAACAGTTAAAACTTCTGCTAGGTGGTATGGGTAATTTGCATTGCAGTGGCGGCTGGTGCCCCTCCTTCCCTGTTATCAGCAGGTCCAGCAAGCCTTCCCCTGGGGGGTTCTTAGGAGCATATGCCAGCTCAGAGAGAGGGATAGCCCCTCGTTGCCCTGTAAACGCCGCAGGGTTTTATTATGTGTAATCACAGTCAGCTCTGCACATGAGATTGTATTGGGAAGTTAGCTCCTCAAGTGTAATTCTGTACTTTTAAGCGGCAGCAATATACTTCACTGAGTTATGTTGACATTCATCTGACTCATACAATGTTCCTGTAATAAATAACTTTAAAGGCCCAAGGTGGGCTGGGTAGGGGTCTCGGTTGGGAAAGTACTCGCTTCATAAGTGTGAGGTCCTGAGTTCAGACTCCCTGGCCAGGTATAGGGGTACATGACTGTAACCCCAACAGGGGTGCTGGGGAGACGGGAGGATCCCCTGAGTTGGCTGGCCAGCCAGTCTAACCAAACCAGAAAGCTCCAGGTTCACTGAAGAACCCACAAAATATTTAATGCTGGCCACAGATACTGTTTCAAATGCCCTCCTTGCAATGGAAATTATTACGAATTTGGGTTTTGAACCTCATCTGGGTTTTTCAAATGATAAGATTTGTATTCAGAAAAAAAAAAAAGTCAATCCTTGAAACACGGAAAAGGAGGGTAAAAAGTTAATCGTTAGCTTATATAAAAGATTAGTGTGGAGCTCACGGTAGAGTTTGTGTGGCCACGTGAGGCACTGTGCATGTCGTGTAAGATTGGAGGGTGAGTTTGTGTTCTGCAGTTGACTTCTTCCTCTCATCGAAATTAGGAATAATGTACTTAGGAGTATTTTACAGGCTGTGAATCTGTGCTGTGACTTCCTGTGACTTCCTCATGCCCTCCCAGAGGCATAAAGCCACGTGTTCCTCAGTGAACACTGTCTGAGCTGCAGCATAATTTAATTTGGGTAGGGTGCTGCTGTTCTTTGGATGCAGTGTGAACCTCTGATGTCAAAATAGGAACCAGAATGGAGCAGAGCCAGACAAGTGGACAGGGAAGACAGAGCGTACTGCCGTTTATAATGATAAGACCAAACGGAGGGCGGTTTGTGAGAAGGGGTTCTTGTTTTCCTTAAGAGATGGGGGCTTCCTATATTTCCCAGGCTAGCCCTCCGCCCCTGGGCTCCTTCTGCCCTAGCCTCAGGGACCACTTCGGTGCCAAGTGAAAAGATGATTAATCATTACCTGTGGGATGTTTTTGTTCTTTTTCACAGGCAGCAGTTGGCTATCTTGGCCGATTTGGTGAAGGATTTGCCGTTGGAGTTTGACTTCCTCTTTTCCCAGTCTCAGGCTGAAGTGATCTCTGGGAAGCAGGAAGGTATGGGGCTTGGCCGGGCACTCGGGTCAGCTTCCTTGGCAGGTGTTTGGGACTGCTCTGTGCATCGGTTTCCATTTTCCCCGTCAAGACCTGTCCTGCTTCAGCCGCACAGCCTGTCTGCAGATCCTGCACGAGGAGCCGGTTTCAGACGGCTGCCTGTACATGTCACACATCTATATCTGGTTTTCACTTAGCACCAAGCACCATGCGTAGTATTTAATCATGATCAAGTGCATCTTTGCTTAGGTAATTGCACTTTTGGAATTTTGGAACATACAGTTCTAGGAGTTATGTGCAGTTTCCCTAATTTAAGTGTGAAAGCAAGTTATTACATTAAGGTGTGGGGAGACCTCAAGGGATGATTAGGAGTTATGCCTGACTATGCAGCCTTTACTGCTTAAGAACTTGCCGGCCGGCTTAAAACTTAGAGCAGTCCTCCTGCCTCTGCTTCCTAGTGCTGAGATCTCAGGCATGCCCCCACGCCCAGCTCGTCCCATTTCTTGAAAGAAGGTGATCTCGGGGCTGGGGGGGGGGTGCCCCATTGGTAAAGTCCTTGCCACACAAGCACCTGGGTGTGATCCAGACCCCTCAGCACATAAAAAGCCAGGTGTGGTGACACGCCTGGAGTCTCAGAGCTAGCCTCGCTGAGTCAGTGAGAGCCTGTCTGCAAAGCACAAGGTGGAAGGTGATGGAGGAAGACACCCAGTGGTGATGTCTGGTCCCCATGTACACGCATGTGTACACACACACTCTGGTCTCCATGCACACACACACCATTAAAGATCCATGTGTGGAGAGTATGGAATAGAATATTATGGTTCTTCTCATTTGTATTTTCCCAAGAAGAAGAGAAAAAGCACAGCCATGGGGAGGGGTGTAAGCTTGGTCCAGCAGTAGCAAATTACAGTGAGACCTTTTCCTCAGGAGTTTATGCGTGGATTGGAATCAACTTTGTTCTGGGAAGATTTGACCATGAAGATGGTAAGTACATTCTGCCTTATGATACTCTTCAAGGGCTAGAGCTTCCCTCCGAGCTTCAGGGAGTGGGAGTGCTTGCTCTGAGCCTTTCTTCTTTGTCTTTTTTTTTTTTTTTTTTTAATGAAAGTAGGGTAAGTAATAAAATGCATGTGGATGAACCCATCACCTAGTCTCAACACTTTGAATGTTTTGCTGTATTTCTGTGTCTGCTCCCTTTCCACAGAACACATTTTTAAAAAGTCCCCCACTGGTGCTACTGCTGTTTAAACACTATTTATTGTATGTGTGAGGATGGGTATGAGCACACTATGATGCTTATGTACAGGACAATGTGCTGGAGCTGGTTCTCTCCTTTCCTGTGGGCACATAGTTGAAATACTATATTTAAGTCATTTGTAAGAATTATCCTCTGTATAATGTACACTTAGTAGTTAGATTAATATATTTTAGTTGCTCTCAAGTTAAAAGCCAGAGCTTTTACAGGATAAGCCATCTTGCTGGCCTAGCAACCTCTCTCTTTTTCTCTCTCTCAGTGGGGAGGGGTGGAGGTTGTCTTTCCTTTTGGACTTGATTTTTGTTATTGATTATTTGGTCCTCTTCCTGTATCATTGATTTCAGAGTCAGACGCTGACACTTCCCTGGACTCAGCAGCAGGACGCAGGAGGACGGTGGGGATACTGGACATGGGAGGAGCCTCTCTCCAAATTGCCTATGAAGTTCCTACCTCGACTTCTGTCCTTCCTCCCAAACAGGTATTTTGCCTTGTATGGCAGTTCAGTGCTTGTGAGGGAAGATCCCTGTTTGAAGCTTGGCTTATCTTTTTTTTGGGGGGGTGGGGGATGGGGGTGTCAATATGTGGCCCTGGCTAGCCTTGAACTCACAGAGATCTACCTGCCTTTGCTTCACTAAAGAGCCGTGCCTGCCATCACCCTGGCAGTAGCTCGGATTATCTTGAGTAGGTTATCTCCCTCAACCTTAGTGTCCAAAAGGCTTAATAGTATCTATCTTGTAAAGTTGTAGGGACACCAGGGTGTGAAGCACTTAGCAAGTGGCCTGGCTTATGATCAGTACTTGATACATTTTAGCAGTTACAATTACTACTGTGTATCTTTTGGGGTTGCCTGAAGAGTAAACATACAGGTCAGTCCTGGACACCATTCATAAATACCTTTTTTTGCTACTGTTCCTTTCCGTCAGCTCTTAGCCTGTTTACCTATGTGCTCCTATCCGTGGACACACATTTGTGTGCCTATGTCTGTGGAAACGATTGTGCCTCTCTTGATGGTGTGCCACCTTACTCTTTGAGACAGGGTCTCTCACTGAGTTGGAACTTGGCTGCTAAACGGGCTAGTCTGCAGTCCAGGGGACCTCTGTCCTTTCTTCCCCAACATTGCCACACCCAGCTTTGTGTGGGTGTGCATGAGGGTGTGTGGGTGTGTCTGTCTGTCTGTCTGTCTGTGTCTGTGGTGTGGGTAGTTGTGTAGGTAAGAGTGAGTGTGGAGACCCAAGGTTGACATTCCACATCTAGGTTTTCCTGTGAGACTTGGGAATCAAACTCAAGCCCTCTTTCTGTGTGTATGTGGCAGGTACTTTGCTGACTGAGTCTCTGGCCCATTACGAATGCATATGGGCTGGAGAACTGGCTCAGCTGTTAAAGGCTAGGCTCGCAACCCAAAATATAAGAATACATTTTGATGCTCACTTTTATCTATTTATTTGTTTGTCTTTTGCGGCCCTGTGGCTTCCTCCCAGTGTCCTGCATATGCTGGGCAAGTGCTGTACCAGTGAGTCGCATCTCCAGCCGAGAACATCCTTTTAGGGAGAAGATTCATTGTAGAGAGAAAAGGAAAGCACCCCTTTTTTAAGTACACGTAAGAAATAGGGCATGCTAGTTACACTGCCTCCAGAGTCAATGGATTCAGCCAGTCAGTGGCAGGAGGAGCACAACGGTCCTGCTGATCTAAGTGATGGCTTCTCACCCTCGGTGCTGTTGGTACTTGTGTGTGGCTGGGTACTCTGATGTTTAGCATTGCCCCTGGTGGAGGCCCTTGTTATACTGCTGAGAGCAGACAGGGACCTAGGGTCGGCCCTGATTGTGAAGGTCTCAGCAGGAGCCAGGCTGGCTTCATGATCTGTTTACCTGGGCCGAGGATCAGACTTAAGGTCTAGCAAAGTCCGTCTCCCGCCGTCACAGTTGTACAGAGGCACAGGGAAAGCAGCAAAGTCTGGAATGTCCACGGAGTGCTCAGGAGCCGGATCCAGTGTAGGATTTTTCAGGGCTGGTTCTAGGGAGAGAGGGTAGAATTGGGCCGTGAGTGTTGTGGGGGCTTGGTTTTTATTTCTGTCACTTGTTTCAATGTTTCAAGAAAGACAGTTACATGAGCCTCAGTTCCATAGTTAGATAAACTTGGAAGATCCTTCCCAACTGTAAGTTTTGTGGCTACATTGGCTGAGTGCTGGTTTATTTTTGTAAGGAAATAATTTTGGTGTGAGTCGAAAAGAGAAAAGAGGTCAGAATGAGAAGTGGCAGAGGAAGTGGAATTGGATGGAAGGGGCACACTTCAAGGACTATTTGGAACAAAAATACAGTGTGTATTTAGGTGGGTGGGTGTGGTGGTAGGAGAAGGCAGAGAGAGATCAGCCTGATGGTCCAGGCTGGGGAACGGGGAGGGCGAGGAGCCCAGCCAAGAGAGGAGCATGCAGAGGAAGGGAGGCAACAGTGGGGTCCTAGGGCAGGGTCAGAGCGAACAGTGGGCTCCTGAGACGGGGTCACAGGGAGTAGTGGGGTCCTGAGATGGGGGTCACAGGGAATAGT